AATCGATCGACTGAAAATGATGCTGAACATGGAAAAAGTGAGACAGGAACAGCTACAGTACTCTAGCTACAGTACATCTACTGTACTCTAGCTACAGTACAGCTACAGTGCAGCTACAGTGCTCTAGCTACAGTACAGCTACAGTGCTCTAGCTACAGTACAGCTACAGTACCCCAGCTACAGTAATCCAATTCCAATTCACAGAATAAACACGGTGAAGCAATGCGGCAAATCTTTAAGCTTCAAGCTGATGCCACCACCGCTACACAGAAAAGTGAACAGGTAAAGCGTCACAAAGTTTATTGACAATGATTTTACAGTTAGAACAGCTCTGTGACTCGCAGCTACGGGAAATCAACTGTTTACGGAATATTTTACGAGAACACGCTACGGCTCACGAACATGAGATGCACACGTGAGTCTTGTGTCTGGCCTTGAAGCTGGTTCTAGAGCTGGATCAGAAGCTGGTTCTAGAGCTGGACTAGCTGGTTCTAGAGCTGGACTAGAAGCTGGTTCTAGAGCTGGATGAGAAGCTGGTTCTAGAGCTGGACTAGAAGCTGGTTCTAGAGCTGGATGAGAAGCTGGTTCTAGAGCTGGATGAGAAGCTGGTTCTAGAGCTGGATGAGAAGCTGGTTCTAGAGCTGGACTAGCTGGTTCTAGAGCTGGACTAGAAGCTGGTTCTAGAGCTGGACTAGCTGGTTCTAGAGCTGGACTAGAAGCTGGTTCTAGAGCTGGACTAGCTGGTTCTAGAGCTGGACTAGCTGGTTCTAGAGCTGGACTAGAAGCTGGTTCTAGAGCTGGACTAGCTGGTTCTAGAGCTGGACTAGAAGCTGGTTCTAGAGCTGGACTAGAAGCTGGTTCTAGAGCTGGACTAAGCTGGTTCTAGAGCTGGATGAGAAGCTGGTTCTAGAGCTGGATGAGAAGCTGGTTCTAGAGCTGGATGAGAAGCTGGTTCTAGAGCTGGACTAGAAGCTGGTTCTAGAGCTGGACTAGCTGGTTCTAGAGCTGGACTAGAAGCTGGTTCTAGAGCTGGACTAGAAGCTGGTTCTAGAGCTGGACTAGAAGCTGATTCTAGAGCATCAGAAGCTGATCTTAGCTGGCAGTCAGCCTTCCCAGGTTGGTAGTCAGCCTTCCTAGGCTGATCGTCAGCCTTTCTAGGCTGGAAAGTCAAGTCTTTCTGGTCCCAGTGCTAATCCTAAAGCTGAATTAGATAATTTAGAGTCTTCCTTTAGAAAAACCCCACTGAAATGCTTAGTGCCAAGCATGCTGAGTCCATCAAAAGTGCAAAACGATGAGCCACAACAAGATTTCAACAATGACCAACCAGGAACTTCGAAAGAGACTAATTTACAAGAAGTGGGCTTTGTAAATCAAATTTTAGATGCTACGCCGAACTCCAGTCACCCAGAAACTGTATTTTTAGCGAACAACGACTCAACTCCTTGCTTTGACCCATTCAATTTCATCGACGACCAGCGCATCAACAGAACAATCGCAGAAAGAGCTGTTGATTGGTGAGCAGAGACAGTAAAAGCCCTTGCCCTGGTTATAGACCAGCTTTGGACCTGGCTCTGGCTTGGCCTGGCTTAGCTCTGGCTTAGCCAGGCCCCTCAAAAGTTCCTGGACCAGATCCTGAACAAGGCCAGCAATTAAATGCTAGTTTTGGATGTCACACTTGATTTGGAAGTGATTGAAATCAAAAAAACGAGACTTTTTCCCCGAGCGGACCCTCGGACTGGCCTTACAGAAGGCCACGAACCAGGACCCTCGGACTGGGTTCCTCAGACTTGGAGCCAGGTCCGTAGCTGGTCCATAGCTGGTCCATAGCCAAGGCATAACCAATTCCTACTTTACAAGCCGCCATAATGCAATTAGCTGCAAAATGCTAGAAGTTTAAGTTGAAATCTTTCCGAAACACAATTTTTTGATGGCTAGAGTTCAGGATTGGCGGTTTTTACAAAAATCTATGCTTAGATAGGCAAAATTATTAAGATAACTGTAGGATCTGGATGTCAGGAGAGCCAAAAATTTGAATAGATTAGCTTAATGCTTAGGGAGACTGGGTGGCCAAGTGGTTAGCGCGCTAGGTTTCAAGTCGGAGGGTCCTGGTTCGAGTCCGCTCGAGGCAAACGCAGTTTTTTTCTCCATTTCAATCACTTCCAAACCAAGTGTGACATCCAGAATTAGCAAAAAAGAAGAAATTAAAGCAAAAAGCATAATAAAATTAGCTGCAAAATGCTAGAAATTGCTCCAAAATTTAGGACTGGCGGTTTTTACAAAAATCTATGCTTGGATAAGCAAAATTATTAAGATAATTGTAGGATCTGGAACTCACGGGAGACAAAAATTTGAATAGATTAGCTTAATGCCTAAGTGTCCGAATGGCCGAGTGGTTAGCGCGCTAGGTTCCAAGTCGGAGGATCCAACCTGAGGGTCCTGGTTCGAGTCCGCTAAGGGAAAAAGCATTGTTTTTTCGATTTCAATCACTTCCAAACCAAGTGTGACATCCATAACCTCTTCAAAAGGCAATTCCAGGCATCGCTCAACAAATCATTTGCTCTTTATGCCCTGAGAATTTTCATCTACCCGATTTGAAGGAAATGGAGCAACATTTCTTGCAGACACATATGGATGAGGAAAAGAAGAGTTGTCGGTGAGTGTAGGAGGGTTAAAGCCATCACAATCGGGTCACAAAACTTTTCAGTGCTTGTCCGACCGACTCAAATCCAGCGAATCTCTTCCAACACATTCGACAGCACGCAAATCGGGTTTGTGAATTTAACAGCGATAATTTAACACCAATATCCAGCACTTGGCTTGATTCTGGCTTAGAATTGGTACTGTAAAGTACATAGAGTACAGTTAGAGTACAGTTAGAGTACTTTAAAGTACATAGAGTACAGCTAGAGTACTTTAAAGTACATAGAGTACAGTTAGAGTACTGTAAAGTACATAGAGTACATTCAGCGTACTTTTTACAGTCAGAATTAGTACTTTAAAGTGCATAAAGTACAGTTAGAGTCCTTTAAAGTACATAGAGTACAGCTAGAGTACTGTAAAGTACATAGAGTACAGCTAGAGTCCTTTAAAGTGCATAGAGTACAGTTAGAGTCCTTTAAAGTACATAGAGTACAGTTAGAGTACTTTAAAGTACATAGAATCCAGTTAGAGTACTTTTAACAGTCAGAATTAGTACTTTAAAGTACATAGAGTACAGCTAGAGTACTTTTCACAAATCCATCATTTTCCAGATCTACTCCTGTATGAGATGCGGGAAACGTGGCCAAAAACATCTTATCAAAGCGCATCTACGAACGCACACTGGAGAAAAACCGTTTTCCGTGAGTACCTTTAAAGATACGTTAGCATTTCCTGCATCGTACTTTAGCATTTCCTAAGGCTGAAGGGGATTCAATGATCAAAATCCCTATTTTCAGTGTGAAACGTGTGGACGAGGCTTCGCTGATGCGTCCACGCTCCGAAGACATCGAATGATTCATACAGGTAGAGAAGAATTCATTAAGAAGAATGAATCTTCCTTTATTTAATTATCTTTCTATATCTCATCACTGGCTTGGCTGGGTGGCTGGGTGGCCTGGTTCGGCCCTGTACTATCCAAAAATGGGCCTAACTTGGCTGTGATCCGGTCATAGACCCTGGATTGGGTTTAGATTTGAAGCTGACCCTGGATCCTGGATTTGGTTTGACCCTAAAGCTGGATCTGGCTTTGAGGCTAACCTTGGAGCTGGGTTTGGCCTTGAGGCTGGCCCTGCAGCTGAGTCTGGCCCTGGGGCTGGCCCTGGAGCCCTGAAACTTACCCTGGAGCTGGGTCTGACCCTGGACCCTGGATCTGAAGCTGGATCTGGGTCTGAAACTGGCCCTGAAGCTGGATCTGGGTCTGTGACTGGCCCTGAAGCTGGATCTGGGTCTGTGACTGGCCCTGAAGCTGGATCTGGGTCTGTGACTGGCCCTGAAGCTGGATCTGGGTCTGAAACTGACCCTGTGCCTAGACTTGTCCTCTAGAGCTGGCCCTGGCTCTGATTTGTTCAGCAGGTTCAGCTAGGTTTCTGTACTTGACAGGATTGGTTTTTATGACCAGGCTTTTCTGCTAACCGCTCCCTCGGATTCAAAAACGAGATACCAAGGCAGTTTGCCAGATCGTGAACGATTACGTGGCCGCACAGAGACCACCTCGACACTGGTGGGACACTCAGAGCTCTAAATACCCCAGAGCTCTAAATATCCCAGAGGTCTAAATAAATCCCTAGCTAACCCTAGGATTTTTTGAAAGAAAAGTCTACTGTGACATCCAGATTGACGATTGGATGTGAATTGGACCAATTGGACAGAAAGAGTCCCGTTTTTCACAGAGGATTTCTCTTTTTCTTTGTGTGATTCAGCTATTCAGCTGTAAACTTGTACGTAGGGGTTTTCGGGGTCGGTGAATCGATTGGAGGCATTCATTTCATAGAGTTTATCAATGGGAATTGCGTTTAATTGATTTAAACGATTTTCGATTTTTAAACGATCTTTTCACTCCAAATCTCAAGAATCTCAAAAAATCGTTTCAGGCGAGAAGAAGCACGAGTGTCCGATTTGTGGCCGATCAATCGCGCGAAAAGACAACGTTAAAGTGCACATAAGAAGTCATAAAGAAACGTAGATAGATCTAAAATTTCGTTTTCTTTTTTGTTTTAACGTTTTTGACTAAACTAGAATAGAAATATTGAAAGTTCACTGATTTTATTTTATTTTATTTTCTTTTCGACTTCTCAACTCTTTCCTTTTCCCGAAATCTTCTGTGATATCCAGCTTGATCAAATTCGTTTCAATAAAGCTTTATTTTCTTTATGATAAAGAAGATTTTAAGCAGCTAACCCTGATTCTGATAAATGATTAGATTTATCTAGATTTTGTTCTGAATTCAACATCTAGCATGGCTTGCTTTATTGATCTGCTTGATTGCTTGCCTTTTAGAGCTGATTTTTGAGTGCTTTAGAATGCAAAAAGCTCAAGAGGAGTCGGCGCGAGTTGAGAGTCTTCTTGATGAGATTGAGTACGGTAATTTGATGAAACTAATTATAGCACAAGAAAAAGACCAAGAAATTCGAGCTCTTATGGAAAAGGGGCGGGGCCAGGAAGGGGCCAGGAAGGCCAGGGGCCATTTTATACGCTCCCTGCCCCTTTACCATTGCGAATCCAACTTGAGCGGATTTGGCTTACGGTAGATTGAGGGGTACGGTAGATCCACTTACTCAATAGTCCCTAAATCTCAGATTTCTCACTATGAAAACTTAGTGTGACAGCCAGTTTGGCCATTTTTGGCTTTAAACAATCGCTTTGCTGCAGAATATCCACAAATTTCAGCCAGCCCCTGACCGGTTCAGTTACCCAATAGGGCCAAAACGCCTAAATCGTGATTTTATCTTTTTGAAAGCCCACTGTGACATCCAGCTTGGCCATTCCGTGCTTTAAAAAAATCACTTTGTTCCTGAATATCCACAAATTTCGAGCAGCCCCTGACCGGTTCAGTTACCAATAGGGCCAAAACGCCTAAATCGTGATTTTATCTTTTTGAAAGCCCACTGTGACATCCAGCTTGGCCATTCCGTGCTTTAAAAAAATCACTTTGTTCCAGAATATCCACAAATTTCGAGCAGCCCCTGACCGGTTCAGTTACCAATAGGGCCAAAACGCCTAAATCGTGATTTTATCTTTTTGAAAGCCCACTGTGACATCCAGCTTGGCCATTCCGTGCTTTAAAAAAATAACTTTGTTCCAGAATATTCACAGATTTCGGTCAGCCCCGCACCGGTTTAGTTACCCAATAGAGCCAAAACGCCTAAATCGTGATTTTATCTTTTTGAAAAGCTGCTGTGACATCCAGTTTGACCATTCCATTTTTGAAACAATTACTTTCCTCCAGAATATCCACAAATTTCAGCCAGCCCCTGACCGGTTCAGTTACCCAATAAGGCCAAAATAGAGTCGAAAACCCTGTGCTAGGAAACTCTTTGCTCATTACATGTCTCCCCATCATAATGCCAACGTTTCACAAATCATATACTTTAGAAACACCCAACAACAAATCGAAGCATGTCTGCTCACCGGGCAAACGACAGAAGCCGATTTGGAGCGGCTGCAAGAAGTGGTACGTTTAGCTGGCTGAGGCTGGGTAGTCAGTCTTCCTAGGTTGGTAGTCAGCCTTCCTAGGCTGGTAGTCAGCCTTCCTAGGCTGGTAGTCAGCCTTCCTAGGCTGGTAGTCAGCCTTCCTAGGCTGGGAAGTCAAGTCTTTCTGGTCCCAGTGCTGGTCTAGTCTTCTAGCCTAGTCATGGCTTTAGACTGGTGATTTCAATGTAGTCTTTCGCGCTAGCTTCCATCTCCCAAAACAATGTAGGATTTGGAAGCTGGTGCTAAAGTTGAAGCAGTTAATATAGAGCTTGATCTGGAGATCTGTCTTGTCTCCAAGATCTCCAAGTGTTTAGACGGATGCTCAAAGAAGATCCCCAGGTCAGATTCGATCAAATAGCACTAGCACAAAAGCCATGGCTAGGCTAGGCCAGTATTAGCCTATTTGGGGCCCTGGTAGGCTATTTGGGGCCAGTATGAGCCCTGGTAGGCCATTTGAGCAGTTTATACAATAGATCAGTTCCCGAGGAGGTTGGATCAGTGATTGGCCTTGTAAGGCCTTCTGTAAGTGATTGGCCTTCTGATTGGCCTTCTATATAGCCTTTTCAGATGTCCCGCATTGATCACTACATTCCAATCGTGAAGCGGCTAGCTGGAGACGTGGTTTCGATTTGTGAGCGGAGTGATGCTTTGAGGAAACGAGTCATCAATCTAGCAAGCAAAATGAAGATTTGAATAATCTGAAGATTCGAATTTGAAACATAGAAAAACCCTCAACACCTAACGGGTCTAAATAAAGCGATTTTAAGATCCTATTGTAACAAAAGAATAGCTGGATTCTTTTTATTTTTCTTTTTTTCGGATATTTTTTACACAATTTACACAATTTACACAATTTTGATGACTAGATTTCAGGACTGGCGCTTTTTACAAAAATCTATGCTTAGATAAACAAAATTATCTAGATAATTGTAGGATCTGGATGTCAGGAGAGCCAAAAATTTGAATAGATTAGCTTAATACTACAGTGTCCAAGTGGCCGAGTGGTTAGCGCGCTAGGCTCGAAGTCTGAGGGTCCCAGTCCGAGGGTCCTGGTTCGAGTCCGCTCGAGGAAAAAGCATTGTTTTTTCAATTTCAATCGCTTCCAAACCAAATGTGACATCCATAATATAGCAAAAGAGAAGAAATTTAAAGAAAATCCATGCAATTAGCTGTAAAATGCTAGAACTTGCTCCAAAATTCAGGACTGGCGCTTTTTACAAAAATCTATGTTTAGAGAAGCAAAATTATCAAGATAATTGTAGGATCTGGATGTCAGGAGAGCCAAAAATTTGAATAGATTAGCTTAATACTAAAGTGTCCAAATGGTCGAGTGGTTAGCGTGCTAGGTTGCAAGTCGGACGGTCCCAGTCCGAGGGTCCTGGTTCGAGTCCGCTCGGGGAAAAAGTATCGTTTTCTCGATTTCAATCACGTCCAAACTAAGTGTGACATCCATAATCACCAACCATCTGTTCTCCGCTCGGAAAGAGCCATTTAAAGCATCAGTTTTGGCGATGAAAGCCTGGAAAGTCAAGAATTTCGGCAGATTTGATTTATTTTGAATAGATTTGAAAACTCAGAACTCTTTTTTTGCAACACTTTTGTAATTGTCACGCAAAAAACCTCATTGTTTTACGGGAAATCGCCCACACCAATTTCCTGTGTTCCAGGCTTTTTTCAGAAAAAAGAACCACTTTTTGAAAAATTTGATTCATTAATTTCCAGATTTGGACCTAAAATTGGACCTGATTGCTTTGGACAAGCTAAAATCTGACTCTGGCTTTGTTCCTGGAGCTGTCCCTGGCTTTGTCCCTGGATCTGTTCCTGGATCTGTCCCTGGCTTTGTCCCTGGAAATGTCCCTGGATTTGTCCCTGGATCTGTCCCTGGATCTGTCCCTGCCTTTGTCCCTGGCTTTGTCTCTGGATCTGTTTCTGGATCTGTTTCTGGATTTGGATTCGGGTTTAAACCTGGCTGACTAGGCTTGAACCTGGCTGATCTAGCAGGACCAGGTTAGACCCATCAGGCCTTTTTCTCGATGTTCTTTCATGGTTTAATGGTCAAGCTGGAACGCACACAACATTTTTGGATAGATAAAAAGATATTCAGTCGTCAAATGATCCATATGGTACCCGTGGATTGAGAATGGTTGCTTTTCTCTTACAGATCTTAAAGATATTCAATTAATTGCTGATAAACGGCCAAGTTGGAGGTCACTGTAGCTGCCGGAGTGGAAAGAGACCAACGGGATATTCATTCAATGGTCAAATGCGGTCCGTGGATTGAGAATGACTGCTTCTCTTCAATCAATTTTAAGATATTCAGTTATTTCACTGAAATTTGTTTGATCTGGAACGCACACAATATTTTTAGATAGGTAAAAAGATATTCAGTGATCAAATGAGATTCTCATGAGGACCGTGGATTGAGAATGGTCGCTTTTCTCCCACAAATCTTAAAGATATTCAATTAATTAATGACAAATGGTCAAGCTGGAGGGCACACAACATTTTTAGATAGATAAAAAGATATTCAGTGATCAAATGAGATTCTCATGAGGACCGTGGATTGAGAATGGTCGCTTTTCTCCCATCAATTTTAAGATATTCAATTAATTAATGACAAATGGTCAAGCTGGAGGGCACACAACATTTTTAGATAGATAAAAAGATATTCAGTGGTCAAATGAGATTCTCATGAGGACCGTGGATTGAGAATGGTAGCTTTTCTCCCACCAATCTTAAAGATATTCAGTTATTTCACTGAAATTTGTTTGATCTGGAACGCACACTTGGTGTTGGGCTGTTCAATTAGAATAGTTTTGATTTCAATCGATAGAGAAAGACTTGGCGCATCTAATGAGATAAAGAATGTTGAAATTGAGCAACCCAACACCAAGAAATTTCAGCTAAAAGTTCGATTGTCAATGGGAAAATGGGCGTTAAGGTTTTTGCGTTGATTTCTCTTTTACACAATGTTGTAAGGTTGAATCCTCATTCCATTCATTTCATTCATCTCCAACATTTTGTTTTGCCATTCCCACGGCCTTTCTTTTACTCTTTCCTTTTTCTTTCTCATATCCAATGTTCCAAGAGTAATTCTATCCCAATTCTTCCATTTTCGGCCTTTCTTTCTTTCTTTCTTTCTTTCTTTCTTTTCTTTCTTCCTCCCACCTACAACTCTTGCAACTTTGACGCAAATTTTGAGGCTCTAAATGATTCTCTAAATGATTTGGAATCTCAAAATATCTCGCAACAATGACTTTGAAATGAATTCTTCTTTTCAAAATTAAAGGTTTTCTAAACAAGTAGCCCCAGAGTTGGAAACATTGCCATATCCAGGACTAGGGCCAGGTTGCAGGCCTAGGAAAAGTTTTAGATCCAGGCAAACCCCAGGGCTAGATTCAAGTCCAGAATCAACCAGTTGCAGCCAGAACCAGATCCAGAACCAGATCCAGCTCCAGAACCAGATTCGGCTCCAGAGCCAGCTCCAGAACCAGATCCAGAACCAGATCCAGAGCCAGATCCGGCTCCAGAGCTAGATCCAGAACCAGATCCAGAACCAGCTCCAGAACCAGATCCGGCTCCAGAGCCAGATCCAGATCCAGATCCAGCTCCAGCTCCAGAACCAGATCCAGAACCAGACCCGGAACCAGAACCAGCTCCGGAGCCTGATCCCTGAACCAGAACCAGCTCCAGAACCAGATCTAGCTCTAAACCCAGAACCAGAACCAGATCCAGATCCAGATTCAGATTTAAAATCAGATTCAGATCCAGAACCAGATCCAGCTCTAGAACCAGCTCCAGAGTCAGATCCAGATCTATACCCAGAACCAGAACCAGATCCAGCTCCAGAACCAGATCTAAAACCAGATCTAGAACCAGATCCAGAACCAGATCCAGATCCAGATCTAAAACCAGATCTAGAACCAGATCCAGATTCAGAACCAGCTCCCAATTCAGTCCACAGGGCAATAACCAGCTCCGGAGCCAGATTCAGACATTAAAATGTAGTTAGACCAGTTAAAGTCTCATCTAAGGCCAACGATGAAGGCTTTTTTTAAACACACCCTATCTAGCAGATTGGATTTCTCATTTCCTGCAAAGATGATTGCAAAGATTCATCTGATTGCTTTATAAAGACGAAATTCGAAGCGTAAACTTGATTCCAATTGATCTTTCGGGTAAATATTTGACCCTTTCCATCCTCCCTATAAAAATTGACACCTCGTTGTGGAGAAAAGAAAAAGAAAAAGAGAAATTTTCGTTTTATTTGCTGAAGAGGAGAGAAAAATGCACGAGATTTGGTAAAAAGATTTCTAAAAATAGATTTTGGAAAAATGATGGAGAAGCTAGATTGTGGAATGAGCAGGAACGGAGCCAGGTCCTGCTAAAGCTTAGATTGGCTAGCTGTCTAGGACTAGCAAGTCTAGGCCATTGGCTTAAAGCTTGTTCAGGCTAAGCTTGTAAGGCCAAGCTTCCTAAGGCCAAGCTTCCTAAGGCCAAGCTTCCTAAGGCCAAGCTTCCTCAGGCCAAGCTTCCTCAGGTCAAGCTGCCTCAGGTCAAGCTTCCTCAGGTCAAGCTTCCTAAGGCCAAGCTTCCTCAGGCCAAGCTTCCTCAGGTCAAGCTGCCTCAGGTCAAGCTGCCTCAGGTCAAGCTGCCTCAGGTCAAGCTGCCTCAGGTCAAGCTGCCTCAGGTCAAGCTTCCTCAGGTCAAGCTTCCTCAGGTCAAGCTTCCTCAGGTCAAGTTTTCTATTAGATCAACCTCTAAGCATTGAAAAAGAGAGGCGCTGAAAATTCCAAAACAAAAAAACAAAAAAACAAATGCAAAAAGGTGTTCAATGGGGCTGGTGAGGTCCAGGAGAGACGCTAAGAGATTGAGGCAAAAAAGGGACAAGCCACGCCCATAGGGGTTGAGCCCATGTGAGCGAGAGAGGTTCGAGCTGAGGCTGGCCCTTCTCTTCATTCATTTCTCCCTTCATTTCATTCATTGAGTGCTTCTCATTAGGAATTTATATTTATCTGTTTTTAGATCTGTTTTTGTTTAGGAAGGGTTTTCTACAGGTTGGCAAGATTTAACAAAACTTATAGGGAATTTCTTGCATCAGTGTCTCATCCTGAACCAGCATCAGGCCTAGAATAGGATTGGTTTGCCCTTGATCTTTAGATTAGGCCTAGAATAGGATTAGATAACCGAGCTGTCAGTTAGGATCAGATTTACTTGTCCAGGATCAGACCAGGATTGGTCAGACAGGCGCCAGAGAGGCAGAGCCAGGCAAGCCAAACAAGGGTAAAGCTTTTCCAGATTGTTTTCCAGACTAGATTCTTTCTGATTCTTCTGAAATTTTAAATTTCTCTTATCTGGAAGTCACATAACATTTCACAGGAATCAGATTTTCCATTCGTCAATTTTAGCTGTTGGCTAAAGTCAGAGCCGATCTAGAACGGGTCAAAATCTCAGGAATTCTCTAGACAAAAAGGTCTGGGATTTTAGATTTCTGCTATCTGGAAGTCACATAACATTTCACAGGAATCAGATTTTCCATTCGTCCGCGTTGCTGTGGGAAAACCCAAGGCCCACCCGAGACGGGCCAAAACCCCAGAATCCCCCCAAAAAAAAGGGCTGGGGTTTTTGGATTCCGCCTACCGGAAGCCACATCATTTCACAGGAATCAGATTTCCATTCGTCAATTTTAGCTGTTGGCTAAAGTCAGAGCCGATCTAGAACGGGTCAAAATCTCAGGAATTCTCTAGACAAAAAGGTCTGGGATTTTAGATTTCTGCTATCTGGAAGTCACATAACATTTCACAGGAATCAGATTTTCGATTCTTCACTTTTAGCCATTGTCTAAAGTCAGAGCCGATCTAGAACGAGTCAAAATCTCAGAACTTTTCTAGACAAAAAGGTCCGAGATTTTAAATTCCTTCTATCTGGAAGTCACACAACATTTTTCAACAACACAACAATCAGATTTTCGATTTGTCAAAGATTTGAAGTCCGTTCGTCCGTCCGTCTGTGCTAGCAATGGTAGCAATGCTTTTAAGTCTTATTCTGTTGACTTTAAAAATTCCAAGCATCGATTATCATTTCCCGTTTAGTTTCTAGACAAATAGCATCCAAAAAAAAGCTTTAATATTCTCATCCCAAAAGAATCCAATCTCATTTTTCTCGAGCAATCACAGGCTTGAGCCCATTTTGTGGCAATTTGCATCCGGCTTTGGCTTGAGAGGCCCTTATTTCACCTGTTCAGAAAAGAAAAAAAGGGAAAAACGGACTGAAGAACTGAAGGAAAACTAAAGAACCCATTTTTTTCAGGTTATTATCTAGGAACTGGGTCAGAAAGAGTGCTTTCTGACCTTGTGGGTCAGAAAGCTTGTGCTAGCTTGCTTGCAAACGTATCCTTTCTGGTGCCCTAGCAATTGACCTGGACACAGAGAGATGGGCTGATAGACAGACGGATTGATAGATTGACAGACAGACAGACGGACTGATGGACAGACGGACAGACAGACTGATAGACAGACGGACAGACAGACGGACAGACAGACAGACGGACTGATAGACAGACAGACAGACAGACTGATAGACAGACAGACAGACTGACTGATAGACAGACGGACAGACAGACTGATAGACAGACAGACAGACAGACAGACTGATAGATAGACAGACAGACGGACTGATAGACAGACAGACGGACTGATAGACAGACAGACGGACTGATAGACAGACAGACAGCCAGACAGACGGACAGACAGACAGACAGACAGACAGACGAACCCTGGTAGCATTCATCAATGGTTTAGTTGCCCAATCTTTAAGTAAAAATCCTTCTCTCTTATTTTACAACATTTGTTTTCAATCTTTTATTCTCATATTCCATTTAATTCTGTATTATAGGGAGGCTTGAATACAACTACGGTAACTTGGCTACAGTAATCCGGCTACAGAAATTCGGCTACAGTAATCCAGCTACAATAATTCAACTACTGAAATTCAGCTACTGAAATTCAGCTACTGATACTCAGGTACTGAAATTCAGCTACAGGAATTCGGTGACTGTAACCTGGCTATTGTAATTCAGCTACAGTAATCTGGTTCCTGTAATTCAGCTACAGTAATTCGTTTACAGCAACTCGTCTACAGCAACTCGTCTACAGTAATTCGTCTACAGTAATCTACAGTACTCCTTCAGAATGGTATCCAGCTTGTTAATCTTGTCCATCTTCACCACAGCAATCATTCCGGTCAAATGTGTGATCTGCTGGCAATGTGGAGGAGAGGTGGGGGATTTTCTTTTCTCCTCCGAGAGCTTTTCAGAGCTTTTTCAGAGCTTTTTTAGAGCTTTTCAGAGCTCTTTCAGCGCTTTCTCTTCTTGTTTTCTTTTCTTTTCTGATTTTACTCATAGTTCTCACGACTACAATTGCACATTTATCAGCGATTCATTAAGAAATAAACTGAAAAACCCGGCTTTTTTGTAGTTAAAAAAGTATTGGTTTGTTGGATCTGTTTCTTTCTTTTACTCTTTCTTGTCCTCTTCCTTTTCCTCTTTCTTGTCCTCTTTCTTGTCCTCTTCCTTGTCCTCTTCCTTTTCCTCTTCCTTTTCCTCTTTCTTGTCCTCTTCCTTTTCCTCTTTCTTGTCCTCTTCCTTTTCCTCTTTCTTTTCCTCTTCCTTCTCTTTCTTGTCCTCTTCCTTGTCCTCTTTCTTGTCCTCTTCCTTGTCCTCTTTCTTGTCCTCTTCCTTGTCCTCTTTCTTGTCCTCTTTCTTGTCCTCTTTCTTGTCCTCTTCCTTGTCCTCTTCCTTGTCCTCTTCCTTTTCCTCTTTCTTGTCCTCTTCCTTTTCCTCTTTCTTGTCCTCTTTCTTGTCCTCTTTCTTGTCCTCTTCCTTGTCCTCTTTCTTGTCCTCTTCCTTGTCCTCTTCCTTGTCCTCTTCCTTGTCCTCTTTCTTGTCCTCTTCCTTGTCCTCTTTCTTGTCCTCTTTCTTGTCCTCTTTCTTGTCCTCTTCCTTTTCCTCTTTCTTGTCCTCTTTCTTGTCCTCTTCCTTTTCCTCTTTCTTGTCCTCTTCCTTTTCAATTAAATAACTTTCTTTTGAAAGATAGTCAAAAATGATAGAAACTTTTAAAAAAACTAGATGCAATGTTTAACTTATTTCAAAAATATCAAGTCTTATATAGAGAATTGAAGCCCTGAATCTTGGCTTTATTTATCTATAAAAAGCTTTACAATCGAAGCTATGCAAATCATTTTACAAGCTTTTCAATCAGCTCAAGTCGATCTTTCTCTAGCGAATGCGGTTTTTAATGATTTTCTTTCATTTCAGAAAACTTCTAAACTTCTAAGCAAACTGACCCCAATTTTTGCCCATTCGAACATCCGTTTGAAAACCGCATTTTCCGCATTTTCCCCTCAAAAATTCTCCCCTTTTTCCCCCTTGTCTTCAACTCTTTTTACTTGAATGAACCCATTCTTTTAGCTTTCCTTTTCATCTCATCCATTTGCTTTTGCTTTGCTCACCTCTTTTCTACATTTTTGCCCCCAAAAATACCCAGAGAAACATTTTATAATCAAGAGAAATCGTTTAGGAAAATGTTTACGAAAATGTTTACTTTAGTCAAAAAGACGAGTTTTCAAAATGTTGCTAGAGTGCTGTAAATCGAGATCCTATGTATAGTGTGACATCCAGAATAGGCATTGAGCTGAAAACTTTGAGGCGGTATGTCAGAGAATGCGCGTTTACTTGAGCTCAAAGTACCGGGGTCAGAGTACCTTGCTAAAACATTGCTAGAGTACTCTAAATTGGGATTTAACCTGTGCTGTGACATCCAGAATAGGCATTAAGCTGAAAACTTTGAGCCGGTATGCCAGAGGACGAGCGTTTACTTGAGCTCAAAGTACCAGAGCTAGAGAACCCCGCTAGAACATTGCTAGGATGCTCTAAATCGAGGTTCTAAATATAGTGTGACATCCAGAATAGGCATTAGATTGAAAATCTCAAGGCGGTTTGCCAGAGGGACGCGTTTACAGGCGCACAAAGCACCAGGGCGACACTGCCTGCCAAAATATTGCTAGGGTACTATGAATTGAGCTTCTACGTATAGTGTGGCATCCAGAATAGTCATTAGATTGCAAATTTCGAGGCGGTGTGCCAGAGGGCGCTAGTTTACCGGGCGCACAAAGTTCATCACCGGTTGATCGGCCTTTTTTTGAGTTGAAATTCGAAAAAAAAGGGAAATTTCCCGTCGAATTGCCTTCTTTTCATGAAATTTCACTTGAAAAGATGGAAAAAAGAGAAAAAGATTGAGTCTTCTCAATCTTTTTCTCTTCTTTTCTTTTCCCGAAACGATTCGATTACCGACTTTTTTCTTTTTTTTTGGCAAATCTCAAGATGTTCGATTTTTTTTGAAGAAAATTTAGGTAAATCGATTAAACTTGAATAAAAAGTTGAATTCTAAGCTAAAATTGTTATCTGGAGCACTGGATTTTGTGAAATTAAGAAGATAAAAGCCAGGAGTGCGCCGAAGTGCGCCAGAAGTGCGTCAAAGGGCGACACAAGTGCGCCGAAGGACGCCAGAGGTGCGCCAAAGTGCGCCAGAAGTGCGGCGAAGTGCGCCGAAATGAGCCAGAAGTGCGCCAGAAGTGCGCCAAGGTTTGCCGAGGTGCGCCGAAGTGCGCCAGAAGATAAACGATTTCAAATTTCTCACTCCCAATCCCTCTTTCTGAGCCAGCGAGTGTTTAGATTGAAGATTGAAGGAATATTTCTCAAAAAACATTTACAGGAGTACGGCTCGGGTCTTCGTGTCCTTCACTCGAGTTGTTGCCGACCGCAGCGTCGTGTTTGTGGCGATGGACTGGCTTGTCTGCGGGCCACGGTGAACTCGCCGGGCATGCAGTTCATCTTATCTGGTAAACAACTTTTGCCGACTAGCTATGGCTTTTTCTGTTCTCCTTTAAAGCTCAAGTGGATTTGCTTTCCAAAGCGATAGCGATCCAAAGTGATTCAAAGCAGAATTTCAAGCTAAAACTTAAAAACTGAGAAAACATTGTTACCCTGACAGTACCCTGACAAAACATTGCGAAGGTGCTGTAAATCGAGGTTCTAAATGTAGTGTGACATCCAGAATAGACATTGACCTGAAAACATTGAGGCGGTATGCCATAGGAGGAGCGTTTCCTCGAGGACAAAGTACCGGGGTCAGAGTGCCTTTCCAAAACATTGCCAAGGTGCTGTAAATCTAGATTCTATGTATAGTGTGACATCCAGAATAGGCATTGAACTGAAAACTTTGAGGTGGTGAGCCAGAGGGGGCGAGTTTACTCGAGCACAAAGTACCAGACTCAGAGTACCTTTCGAAAACATTGCTAGAGGGCTGTAAATCTAGATTCTAAATATAGTGTGACATCCAGAATAGGCATTACTTTGAAAATTTTGAGGCTCTATGCCAGAGGACATGCTTTTTCTCTATCAGCGATCAATCGAATACGTAATTCTCAACAATGAAACGAGTTTTGAATGGTTTTTGTTCTTCTTTATTGAAAACAAAAGACTTCTTTTGTTGATTTATAAATGAAATCTCGTTCTTCTTACGTTTCCCCGTATTGTTTATTTAAAAGAAAAAAGGAAATCTTTCAGATCTGATGATTCGAAAGGAAAAAAAACTAAACAATTTGAAAGATTTCTGGGGAATTCTGGGATTTCCTGGGGTTTCTGGGATCTCTGGGGAATTCTGGGATTTACAAAAAGCATTTTTCGTTTCAATTTTAACAAATCTACTCTAAATTTTCACTGTAATCATTAAAAGAAAAAAAGAATTCGAAAAAAAGCTAGTTTCGTTAGTTCCCTAATTACTTTACTATCGTTGTCTTTTTTTGCTTTACTTCGAACCTCGATTTACAGCATTATAGCAATGTTTTGGCTGGTTTCTCTGACTCTGGTACTTTGTGCTCGTGTAAGCTCGCGCCCTCTGGCATACAGCCTCAAAGTTTTCAGCTTAATGCCTATTCTGGATGTCACAGCACACATTGCATCTAGATTTACAGCACCTTAGCAATGTTTTGGAAAGGCACTCTCACCCCGGTACTTTGAGCTGAAGTAAACGCGCATTCTCTGACATACCGCCTCAAAGTTTTCAGCTCAATGCCTATTCTGGATGTCACACTTTACATAGAATCTCAATTTACAGCATTCTAGCAATGTTTTAGCAAGGCACTCTGACCCCAGTACTTTGTGCTCGAGTAAACTCGCGCCCTCTGGCTTATCGCCTCAAAGTCTTCAGCTCAATGCCTATTCTGGATGTCACACTTTACATAGAATCTCAATTTACAGCATTCTAGCAATGTTTTAGCAAGGCACTCTGACCCCAGTACTTTGTGCTCGAGTAAACTCGCGCCCTCTGGCTTATCGCCTCAAAGTCTTCAGCTCAATGCCTATTCTGGATGTCACACTTTACTTAGAACCTCGATTTACAGCAATGTTGATGAAATTTGAAATTTATCTCTTCTTTTAGAAGATCTCATCCAGAACTCTTCAAATATATCTTCGAAAATTTGTTTTTTTCAAGCACCCAATTTTCCAATAGCCTTTTTTTTCTTGACGAAAATCCAATAATGTCGAGATTGGAGAAGTTCGGCAAAGAGAAAAGCACACAAATTTTTCTTTGTCCATCTCTTTTTCTCTCCCCCAAACCGATCAAATTGAGTTGGTCCGTGAAAAATTGGGAATTTAACCGAAAAGTGTACGTTCGGTCTGGGATTTGAACGCAATTCAGTGCAATAGCTGGAAGATTTTGAGCACAAAGTGCACAGCCGGCTAGCTGGATTTGCTCCTGGAGCAGTGATTTGCTCCTGGAGCACTGAATTGTATTTTCGACGAGTTACCCACTCGGTTTACTTACCCAACTCGTCACTTTGGATGGCTAAACCTGGCCCAAATCTTGGCTTAACCAAAATTGACTAAAAAGAACCCGAATACTTGGCCCTGATCCTGGTCCAAGTACCCAGCCAAAACATTGCTAGAGTGCTGTAAATCGAGGTTCTAAATATAGTGTGACATCCAGAATAGGCATTGAGCTTAAAACTTTGAGGCAGTATGTCAGAGGAAGCGCGTTTGCTCAAGCACAAAGTACCGAGGTCAGACCACCCTGTCAAAACATTGCCAAAGTGCTGTAAATCGAGGTCCTAAATATAGTGTGACATCCAGGATAGGCATTGAGCTGAAGAATTGGAGGCGGTAAGCCAGAGAACGCGTGTTTACTCTAGCACAAAGCATACGAGGAGCTTAGACTTACTTTAGTCTTATTTAGATTATAAAGTACAAATGTTGGCAAAGTTTCCAGGCTGCCATCCGCCAGAAGACGGCTTCATCGGCTGTGATTTGCATCATTTGCCCTTCAACGCCACAATTCAACGGTGCGCTTGCCTGGACGAAGCGTGCCAAGAATATTTCCCAGGTAAATAATCTTGTTTCTCGGTTAGGGAAGGCTTTTGTCTTCAAGTTTTGTCGATAATTTAGTTGATAATTTAGTTTCCAAAAGGGTTACGGTGGCTACTGTTCTTTGAAAACGATTTGTCTATTGGTTTTTGTCTATGTCTATTGGTCAGGGATAGGCTGGGGTTTGTCAGCTGACAGATTCAGCTGGCCATTGGTCTGTGAGTTGGCTGAGCGCTAGGAAGTTGGCTGAGCACCAGGGAGCTGGCTTGCACCAGGGAGCTGGCTTGCACCAGGGAGCTGGCTTGCACCAGGGAGCTGGCTTGCACCAGGGAGCTGGCTTGCACCAGGGAGCTGGCTTGCACCAGGGAGCTGGCTTGCACCAGGGAGCTGGCTTGCACCAGGGGAGCTGGCTGAGCTCCTGGCTGAGCACCAGGGAGCTGGCTGAGCTCCTGGCTGAGCACTAGGGAGCTGGCTGAGCTCCTGGCTGAGCACCAGGGAGCTGGCTGAGCTCCTGTCTGAGTCTGCTTTTCAGCTATTTAGCTATTGCTGGTTAGACAAGCGGATATTGAGCAAGATCTGTATTACAGTTACCGTATTCTCTCTAATAGTAGTGCGCACTACTATTTTTTCAACCCCCTCCTGGACCGCAATACTATTAGAGAGTGCACTACTATTAAAGAGTTTTATCATTCACCAAAGTAAGACAGATATAAGATTTGTTCCAAAAGTTCTTGCAAAAAAAGCAACTTTCTAAAAATTTATTGGCTTCTGATAACAAAAAGTTAACTAGATAAAAAAATCTATAAAAGAATCATCATTTTAATCATCATCCTTATCCAGTTCAATATTTTTGAGTTGATCCTTTACTCCTTTGATCGATTGTTCGAGACGAGCATTGGCGGGAAGTGTTGCGCCTTCAGGAATCGGTCCTTGTTTTTTGAAGCAATGAATGTCGTAATTGCACAACTCTTGAACGAGCTTATGATGAGGTTTTTCGGGAGCTCATTCCAAGCATTCCAAACCCATTCAAGGTAATTTTCCATCGGTGGAGGAGCTGGGTTTCCATTCCGGGTCAAAGGTTTTGGTCCATTCATCATCCATCCCTCGTATTGTGCTCGAATCCTAGCCTTAAATGGTGCATTGCACATGACATCGGGAGCTTGTATGTACTTGGTGCATCCTCCGGGCACAAGAATCGAATCAATTTGCAAATCCATTAAATTTTTTTTGGTTGCTTCGCTTTTATGGGCGGAAAAGTTGTCCCAGACGATTAATCGTTTTCCGAATAATGGAGCACCAAGAACCCTTCGAAGATAGGACTCAATTGAAGTATCATTCATCCATGTAGGCCCACCCCAGTGTAGCTCTAGCTTGTTGTGGAATTTTGTAGTTACTTTAGGATCCGGTCTAACACGATTCAGCAACACAAAGGGCCTACACAAGGGGCCATCATCACGAGCTGTTAACATCACGGTGATTCGCATCTTATCGTGACCTGTTGAAAGAATCGCCACCTCTTTGGATCCTTTTTCGGCAATAGTCAAACTATTCGACTGATCCAGGAAAATGCTCGTCTCATCACAAGCAAAAATTGATGCGTAGTTGTTCTTTTTGCGTAACTTCTCCATGTAGAGGATGTACTCAATTATTGCTTTCACGTACTCATTTGGCTCCTTTTGACATACAGTTGTGGGCTGGCGAGTTGACAATTTGTGTCTTGACATGAATAAGTTTAGCCATCCCTCTGATGCCGAAAACTCCTTTCCACATTAACTTGGCTTGGCATTGAATCATTTTTCGTGTCACTCGCATCTTCTTTGCCCGCATTTCTTGAATCCAAGCAACGAGATCCTTGTCAAAATCGATAACCTTGAGCTTTCGTCCACCGCCTTTGATTCGTTTTTTTTCCTTTTCCGTTATCTCTGTTTTGTTTCTCGAGTTCTTCCTTTTGCTGACACCATTTTTGGATGTTTTGACGACTGACTCCAAATTTTCGCGCTGTAGCCGACTTATCCTTCATTCTTTCGGCAAAATCGATTGGCCATTGGCAAAATCGCTTTCAGCTTTGTTTGAACGTCGAAACATCGTCGCTTTTTCGCGGATGGTGCATCCGATTCACACGAAGACTCCTCGGCAACATCGTTGGCCATGTTGTAGCTAGCATCTTGCTCGGTCACTTGATTGTGGATCCTCTTGAAGAATTGCGCATGTTCCTCGTGTTCACGACGAGCTCGAAAATTCTCGAATCCATCAAGCGAGTTCCCATCGAGATCCATACCTAAAGAAAAAGATGATTTAGACAATAGTAAAGGTGATCAACAAAAATTATATACCGTATTTACTCTATTAGTGGGGTCCTCTCTAATAGTGGGGTCCTCTCTAATAGTGGGGTCGTCTGGAGGGGGGTTGAAAAAATAGTGGGGTCCTCTCTAATATTGGTAACGAAAGTGATACATCAATTGTTGATCTCTTGGATTAGTTCTTTTACTGTTTGTTAATGTTTTGTTACGGTTAAAGCTAAATAAAATATGAAGCCAAACTTGTTTTTTCAAGAATTTCGGAGAAAAATTGATATCTTTTCAACTTAAAACTTTGGTTTTATGTTCTTTTAAATTTCTCTAATAGTGGGGTCCTCTCTAATAGTGGGGTCGTCTGGAAGGGGATTGAAAAAATAGTGGGGGACCCCACTAATAGAGTAAATACGGTAATATTAAAATCGAACATGATGGATTATTTTCTAGGATTGAGCTTTGATAACAATAAAGTTAAGCGCCACAAAAGGTAAGTCAATCTCAAACTTATACAGGTATATAAGAGCAAAAAAAGTCGCTTTTTCGCGGATGGTGCATCCGATTCACACGAAGACTCCTCGGCAAAATGACTATAGCTTTGCGCGGAATTCGTAAGGAAATTTGAGTTAATGTACCACTAAAACAACGTGTGGAAACAACAAAAAATTTTTTTTTGGCACTTTGCACAACAATTTTAATTTTTTTGCTAACTTTTTCAGGTAAAGAATAGTTGAAAAATGAATAAAAAAAGGCTCGCTTTTGCTTGCTTGAATAGCTTTAGAATGCAACATAAACATAAAGATATTCAGTCGAAAAGGTTTAGGTAAAAAAGAAGCACTATAAATGCAAATTTTTAAGGGTGCACTACCATTTTTTCAACCCCCTCTCGGACCGCAATACTATTAGAGAGAAAACGGTAGATATTATTGTCCATCGACATCCAGTCCAGTGACATCCAGAATCGGCATTAAACTGGAAATTTCAAGGCAATGTGCCAGAGGAAGCGCGTTTACTCAAGCACAAAGTACCAGAGCCAGAGTACTTAGCCAGAGTGCTGAGCAAGATCTGGATTACAGTTAGATATTTCTCAGGCAACTGTCCATCGACGTCCAGTCCTCCACTCGTGGCGCCTGTCCCGGCGAATGTCTTCACAAATCTCATCAACAATGTCGACGAGTCGGCGGAGAAATCGGCAGGTAGAGTAGAAGATAAAGAGATTCAAATAATCTGTGAACCGTCGACATCGACGAATTTTAAACCGAATCGAGTTTTTTTTGTTTTTATGGTCGATTTATAACAAAAATATCTGTCGATTCGCTTTTGCCATCGGCATCTTAAAGTTTTTCGTCTTTTTCTCAGCAACAGGGCTTCAATTTTGTCTAATTTAACAATCATTCGATGCAAAATTGAATTGCGCATCGAATGAGACCAAAATCAACTCAAAATCTAATATCCATGCAAAGTTATGAGGCAAAATGGATAGCCCCGTCCACAATGGACGAGGTTTAGGTTTTTAGCTCATAACTTTGCACCAACCCTTTGCTTTTGTCTAGTTTAACTATTATTCGATGCAGAATTGAATTGCGAATCGAATGACACCAAAATCAACTCAAAAGCTAATATCCATGCCGAGTTATTGGCTAAAAACCAAAACCCCGCCCACTTAGTGTTTTGCTCCCTAACTTTTCGTGGATATTAGATTTTGAGTTGATTTTGGTGTCATTCGATGCGCAATTCAATTCTGCATCAAATGATAATCAATGTAGTCAGAATAAAAGCGTTGGTGCTGAGGAAAACTCGAAAAACCAATTGCCAATGGCAAAAAAGCACCGCCAGATAGTTTCGTTTACTACAAATCACTTTAACTTTCTTTAGCAGCAATATTTTTGAGTGTGTTTTAGTCCATTCGAAAGCTCTTGAAATTCTCTATTTTTTGAGCTATAGATCATGAAAATCCAGCAGATTTGAAGCAAGTTAGAAGCGTTTGCGTTTTGACTTAACTTTTTCCCTCATAACTTTGCATGGATATTAGATTTTGAGATCATTTTGATCTCATTCGATTCGCAATTCATTTCTGCATCGAATGATAATCAATATAGTCAACATAGAAGCCCTGTTGCTGAGCAAAAGACGGAAAACCTTAAGATGCCGATGACAAAAGCGAATCGACAGATATTTTTGTAACTCCAGTGCTAATACGCTAAAGAAGGCTAAAGAACGCTAAAGAACTAATTCCGAACTACAAAAAGACTGTTTTAAGACAGGAAAACATAGATTCATATCATTTGATTTCAGAGAAATCCGGAGAATATGGTGGTGACGACGATGATGCGTTTCGAGCAATCCGGGAGCGACACGAGCCCGTAAAGGTGGGTTTTTTCAAGGAGGATTTCACAATTTTCTTTTAGAAATAGAGATAAAACTAGAAATTTATGCAAATCTCCCATTTTCAGATCCTCAAAATAAGCGCCGAGGACTCTGGCGAGGTCGACCCGTTGATTGACCCAAAAATCTCGATTCTACCCCAGAAAAGAGAAAATTCGAGTGTCGTGCCTTCCAGATCAGCCATTTTTCTAATTATTTTCTATTTTTTATCTAAAATCCTATAGAATTACTGTGCCAAAAGGTTTCTGCTGATTTTTGCTTCTTTTCTTTATCATTCTCATATCCACTCACAAGGGAATGGTCCGAACTGGCTGCTCGACTTCGTGATACGGCTGAGAAACGCTTATCGAGCACGGGGAACACGATGCTCTATTGATTTTTGCTTATTCTAAATGGTTCACAAGAAAAATGCTTGCAAAGTTTGAGCGGAAAAATCGCATCGCAAAAATCGCAATAGAAAAGCAACCCGGGGGATTGTCTGGGGGGATATATGGGCTCTTTCCTTCCCTGGAAACGTAGCTTTTTGGTGTAGAGGTGAATCTGTAGGCTCTAAATCTAGCTTTCCCTTTTCTTGACCCTAGTTCGAATCCGGTAGCGAAGATTTTTCTTTTGCTAAACCTTTAAAAACACTTTTTCTTTATTTTAGACGCTTGTTCGTTCCTAGGAGAACTAGAATTTGGGTTAAGTTAAAGAGAGTGGATCTTTTTGATATCCCGCCATCTCATCTCTAACACTCACCGACAACCCCAACGCAACTCCTTCAACGTATTAGAGGGGAGTCCCTGTGAAATGATCGACCTGAATGCATAGATCTATGCATTTGCATAGACCCGAAAGATACGATATTCGTTTAGTAGTCGGCAGTAGTGCGATAAGACGAATAGATTACAAGGAACCAAATCTGTAGAAAAAGGAACCAAATCTGTGGAGAAAAGGGACCAAATCCGAACCCGAAAGATACGATAGTAGTGCGTAGTACGATAGTCGTGTAGTAGTCGACAGTAGTGCGATAAGACGAATAGATTACGAGTGAGGGAAGGGGGATTCGAAGTGAGAGCCGCACTTGTCCTCCTAGGCAATCCCAATCCCAAGGATCGCCGCTTCTCAAGGATAAGCACAAGGATAAGCACAAGGATCAAGGGATAAGCACAAGGGAGAACACATTTACATAAGAATACATAAGAATACATAAGAATACATAAGAATACATACCGTATTTCCTCTAATAAACGCCCCCCCCCCTGATCAACTTTGGACGCTTCGTTCTCAGCCCCATTTCGAGATATTTTTATGTTTAATATATCAAAAGATAGCCCTTAATGTCTTCTATCTTTTGATATATTAAACATAAAAATATCTCCAAATGGGGCTGAGAACGAAGCGTCCAAAGTTGGTCAGGGGGGCGGCGTTTATTAGAGGAAATACGGTAAGAATACATAAGAATACATAAGAATAGACAAATCATTTTGTTTATGTGTGCAAAAAGTCCCTTTAAAGTTTGGCGCCGACTCATTCTCCCCAACCCAATACATAAGAATACATAAGAATCGACAAATCATTCAATAATAACAATAGTAACTGAAATATTAGTTTGAGCTGCTGAAAGCTGAAAAGCTGAAAAGCTGAAACGCCTAAACTTTGCAAGCGTTTTCCACGTGAACCATTTATTTTTTTTTAATTTTTTTTTTTTTTTTTTTTTTTTTTTTTTTTTTTTTTTTTTTTTTTTTTTTAAATTTTTTAATTTTTTTATTTTTAAATTTTTTTTTTTTTTTTTTTTTTTTTTTTTTTTTTTTTTATAAATTAATTTATTTTTTTTTTAATTTTTTTTTTTTTTTTTAATTTATTAAAAAAAAAAAAAATATTTTTTTTTTTTTTTTTAATTTTTATAAATTTTAATTTTTTTATTTTAAAAAAATTTATTTTTTTTTTTTTTTTTAGAATGGGCAAATGGAAAGGGTAAAGCCAATGGGCAAAGAGAATGGGCAATGGCAGAGCATCGTGTTCCCCGTGTTCGATAGGCGTTGGCATCTCATCTCAGCGAGTCTCACGCGACGTAGTTTGCATCACAGCGACGTCTGTCCATTTTAGATCATTCCCTTCTCCGTATTTGATAACATTTTGTTCCTAATTCTCCCAATTCCCCAATTTCCCAATTTCCCAATTCCCCAATTCCCCAATTCCCCAATTCCCCAATTTCCCAATTTCCCAATTTTCCTCCAATTTTCCTCAAATATTCCTCAATTTTGCGGGTTTTTCACTGCGATTCAAACATTTCGAGATATTGAATGTGAGCAATTTGAAACATTTTAGAGATTTTCGACTTTTATTGCTCATTTTTGGACTTTGTTTTTCATTTTTATATTTTGTGATTCATTTTTGCCATAAATTCGATATAAATTTACTTTTTCTCGGCATTTTGCATACATGACGAGCGTTTCCATCGTTAAAATCTTCGCTTATCCAACGAATCGTCGTATCGCACGAGGCATCATTCCCATTCTAAACAAACATGCTAATCGAATCGTTCAAACAATCGAAAATTCACCTCAAATCGCACAACGCCTAAAAATTTTCAGCTCAATACCTATTCTGGATGTCACACTATATTTAGAATCTCAATTTAGAGCACTCTAGCAATGTTTTGGCAGAGTACTCTGACTCTGGTATTTTGTCCTCGAGTAAACGCACGTCCTCTGGCATACAGCATCAAAGTTTTCAGCTCAATGCCTATTCTGGATGTCACACTATATTGAGAATCTCATTTAGAGCACTCTAGCAATGTTTTGGCAGAGTACTCTGACTCTGGTACTTTGTCCTCGAGTAAACGCGCGTCCTCTCCCACAACGCCTCAAGATATTCAGCTTAATGCCTATTCTGGATGTCACACTATATTTAGAACCTCGATTTACAGCACTCTAGCGTCGTGACCTAGCGCCTCGTGAGCTAGCAGATTTCATCAACTTTAATCAGTGACCACCATCAAGCCTTTATTTAAATGGATTACTCAGTCTGGAGTGTTCTCAAAGCAAAAATCTGCTCGAAGCAATGACAAAAGCACAATGCATCAAACAAACAGCATCAAACATAATTCAAGCATTGCTTCCAGCATTTCATTTCGTTAAATTCATCAATTCATTAACTTTACTTCAGTTTAATCAATGTTACAAAGCAAAAAAGCAAAAAAAGCAAAAGATTTCTCAATTTACAAAAATACTTCACCTGTTCCAATCAAAAACATTTCCCCACAAAAGCTTTCATTTCGCTTCTTGCTTTCATTTCCGCCTTAAGAGAACATTAAAAATGGAATCCTATTGTGAGGTGATCCGCCACAATCTCTCCTCATCTGCTATTGCATTGATTGTGCCTGTTGATGTCAGTTGGTATCCCGACTTTCGACATACACTTGCCCTTTTCGGTGGTAAGTTTTTCAAAAGAAAATCCAAAACTCATCAAATCTCATTCATCCAGTTCCATGCTTTCTCATCAATCTTTTCGGCTGTTTGGTTATTTATAAAGCGACGCCAAAGAGTCTCGGGGTTTATAAATATTTCCTTATCATTTCGCAGGTGAGAAGAGCGTCGAATTGGATGGTGGCTGGCTGGGTAGCTGGCTGGCTGGGTAGCTGGCTGGCTGGGTGGCTGGCTGGCTGGGTGGCTGGCTGGCTGGGTAGCTGGCTGGCTGGGTAGCTGGCTGGCTGGGTAGCTGGCTGGCTGGGTAGCTGGCTGGCTGGGTGGCTGGCTGGCTGGGTGGCTGGCTGGCTGGGTGGCTGGCTGGCTGGGTGGCTGGCTGGGTGGCGGGCTGGGTAGCTGGCTGGCTGGCTGGCTGGGTAGCTGGCTGGTGGCTGGCTGTGGCTGGCTGGTGGCTTGGCTGGTGGTCTGGCTGGTGGCTTGGCTGGTGGCTGGCTGGTGGTCTGGCTGGAAGCCTGGCTAACAAACAACAAGACGGTTCCTTATAAAGAGCCGTTCTTGAATCAAAAGTCTTGAATCTCTAGTTCTCGGCTTAAAAGCAAAGAAGCTCTCTGAAAACGTCTCGAAATTTCGTTGAGATCTGCTAGAATTCTATGAAAAACCTCCTACAAACGCTAAAATGATCACATAAAAACAAAATCCCGTGGCTCCTCGCTTCTCTAGTCACTCTAGTCACTCTGCTTTCCATATTTTAGCATTCATTTTATGTTTTAGCCTTCATTTCTTATTTTAGCATTTATTCAATCTTTTAGCTGAATGGTACTGTTTTTGATCTTTTTGCTTTAAACATTTCCTATCCAGTTTTTATCTATCCCGTTTACGGGATCTATTTTCTGGGTATCGCTAGCGATTATGAAGTGAACGGATGCGTGCAACAGGTTAGGAATTGGGAAAGAATTGGGGGAGTAGAAGTTGAGGCCGGTAGAAGTAGAATTAGAAGTAGAATTACAAGCTTGCGCCAAAGAGGCCTAAACCTATTTTCTCTTTTTCTAAACAAAAAACCCAAAAAATCCATCTCTTCAGTTCCTAATTTATTACTTTTTTAAGTTCACAGCATTACTAATAATGTGTTATTTCCTTATGGGCATTGGCGGCACTCTGCTTGAGAAGCAACAATCCATTCTGGATGAAGCACATATATTAAAGCTTCAAACAAGGTATTCAACTTTTTTGAAAAAGAATCTCATAGCAGTTAAACAAAGAAAATGATTTGAAAAGACTTTTTTTAAGGGAAAAGCGTCTCGTTCAGCTGTTTTTTGCATTAAATCCACTTCTTGCAATAGCTGTAATGGCTCACGTGACAACTATTGGCGATAATACTCCTTTCAAAGAATCAAGAATTCAAGTAAGTTACACAATTAACTGTAAACTTTTTATCAGAGGCGAAGGAAAGTTGTCTAACTGTTGTCTAACTAGAAAAAACGGCTAAACCGATTGTGCTGAAAGATCTTGGGTCCTTGGGTCAATGAAATGGCTAATCCAGAGCAACAAAGTGGAGCAGAAAGGGGCAAAAGGGGGCAGAAAGTAGGGCAGAAAGTAGGGCAGAAAGTGAGGCAGAAAGTGGCGCAGAATCCGATGGAAAAAGAAGAAAGAAGTGAAGACACACGATGAGAATGGGAAGCTCATTGTTTCACTTAAAACTGGGACTTTTATCGATGTATATCATGATGAGCAGACGATGAAGGTTTATTTTAAAGATTGATAGAGATAAGCTGAACTGATAATGAGTATGTAATCAATTTTAAGGTACAAAT